CTTCATACAGACATCATCTTTGTACTTGCGGCACGGTATTGTTTACGTAACACCATGGAATAATGTTCACACGCATCCATCTAAATAAACACTTGAGATTTCTAGAATACTGTTATTTACTTATTTACACGCGATAACTCTTTATTACATTCGACTGATGTGTAACGGTGCCGCGGTTTCTCTATTTGGACGTTCTTCTATGTGGGTGGGCCGGTTGCCGGTAACAATGTCTCTAAGTTGGTGAAAACTGCGTAATTTAAGTTGCCGTAGCAATTTGAGTAGATTTTCCTAAAAGATGTGGCAATTTCTTCGATAAGCTTAGCAGAATTTTTTTCTAATAATATTAAGACTGATAACATAGGAAATTTGAGAAAATTGAATTGACATTTAAAATTGTAAAATATCTCAGTATCTACTAGCTATATCCAGAAAACGAGGGTTACAAAAAACTTGAAAGTTTGTGTTTAAGCTAAGAAATTCTGCACTCTAAACATTTTTTTTGCTGTTCTGTGTAGAGCTTTTGTATTTATATATTTTTACAGAAAAATTTTAAAAGTTCGTATTGAAAAAAAAACATAATAAATTAATATTACACAAATTAATCGTAATGAAGAAGTAATATGCCTACGAATTACTGTGGACAGAAAAGTAATTTTTAAAAACCATAGAAATAAAAGGCTAAACACAGAAAAATAGTTAAAACTGTTATATTATCCCTTCCGATGAATCTGAAGCTGGGACTCTATCAAACTTATGTGAGAAGGATATTGCAATATGCAGAGACGGTCTAGGCAACTCATATATAAATCGTTTAAGAGTAACAATGACCAAAATCTAACTTTAATTTGACGACTCTAGTCAAAAAGACGTCACTTAAATGATATCATTCGTCTGAAACATTCTCTCGTCACTTGGTGGCCAGTTAACGACGTCATTTTGACGCAACCCGCTACCTGGGATATTAGCTGGCTTAATACGATACACTTAAATGCAATTTTAAAATAAATTAAAATCGAGTATGGGATGTAGCTTAAACAACTGCAAGATTAATAATAACCTTTTTCTAAAAATGTGCACATACTTAATAAGTTAAGACAACTGAAAAAGTTCAATTTTTCACTTCCATTAGCATCACATAAACGAAGAGAATTTTGTGGGTGACATCTCTTTAGTTCCATACGAACGAACGAAAACCTATATGCATAGTTAATAGATAATATAGAAGCCCTATTACGGTAAAAATTGATGCGCCGCATTGATATTTTCGAAGAGGAGGTAATGATTTTCCGGGCATTACTTTAGATTTCACTCACTTACCTGCACTTTGAACCATTTTTTTGTAAAAGAGATTTCCACAAATTTGACTCGTTATCCCAGAATATTTAACGGAAACTACGGATATTTTGAGAAAATGCTGCCGTAAACATGCGACATACAACTTTATTGACTACTTGTTAGCAGCCATGTTGTTGTCGAATGCCGCATGACCATTAGCCCAATTTTTTTTCTAGTTGCTTCATAAATTTCTGTGTTATCGACCTAGACAGGATTTCTATATCTCTAGTTGTTATATGCCAAAATCTCTGTGTTTTACGGCTTCGTGATATATATTATAATATCAATTAACCAGTTTTATAATTTTCGCTGCGTATTCACGTTTATTTATTTATAAATAATTAATTGTTGCTCTATAATATTTTAATAATAAACATTGTTATTATGAAGTGTTTCAGTAACATCATAACGTCATAAGCAAACCTTGAAGAAAAGCACATAAGTTTAATTTTTGGTGCAGCTGACAAAAATATTTTAACATTATATTTACTTGTAAGTTATATTCTAAAAATTGTTATGGCTAATATGTGATTTTTGTTTTCGAAAAATTAAATCAATGCCATCGTAACATTTCCACGCGCGTTCATTTTCGGAACGGAAAAGTTAACAACCGTTAAAAAGCACGTATGCCTAACGAAATACATCGTGACAAATTTATACTCTAATATTCGCCTTTGAATCGAACATTGAAATAAATATTTTGTCACAAATTCTGCCGGCTTTCAGACCACCCGCGTTTTATTATCATCGGCACTGACAGTTGTAATAGCATGGCGGTTTATTGCCGTACCGCTGAGCAACGATTATTTTTTCCTTTTTTCCTTGCTTTGATGGATATCGGAAATATATATAGAGGAAGTAACTAGGTTAATTCTGTTGGAATCCTATCATAAGTTTTATTTTTAACTTTACCTTCACTAAAGCCTTGTTTCGGGTCTCATACGAACATGATCTGAATTTTTTGAAAATTTGAACAACCAATCCTAGCTAACTAAAAAATGACATTATCAAAATCTAAGTTGCCCATGACACTTTTTTCTTCCACCTCCTTTGGTGACTTTTTAAGGGGCAGTATTAAAGAAATTCCATCACCTCTCTTTGTCGCGGCATATCTAATGACAAATTCAAATTCGACCTAAAATGGAGGGAGTTTCCAAACTAATTTTTTTATATGAAAAAGTGCGTAACGCTACTCGTTGACTGATGATGATAAATAAAACTTTAACAGTCTGTGGCTCAAAAGTTCATATATTCAGAGCATGGGCTTATTTGAACTTTCCTAATCATGTAGTTATTATTTATTATTTAATGTGACCGCTTCGATGAAAAGAAATACTGAACTGAAAACGAAGTTGACACCTGATCATGGTCTGTCCAGCTTCAAACTACATCACTGGTTTGGTGGCGTCAGGATACTTGTCTTGAATTGTTTTCCAGTGTAACGTGTATTTCACGTGATGCTGAACGAAAATAAACCACTTCATTAACAAAATAATTAATAAAACATACACTTCTAGATCGCAGTATGTCGAGTTTAATATTGCAAACTACAAATAAAATATTATTTTAAATAGCAACATCCAAAATTATTATATTAATAACAAATTTATGTAGAAATAACTTATTTAAATCATAGATATGAGAGAGGGTAAATTACGAACAGGTAGTTAAGTTTATTTGTTTTTATTTAAATTTTTCTAAATTCTCACCACGCCACTGGATATTAAAGCTATTTTGTTGCAATTTTTTTATTAATTTCGATGATGAGACTTGGCTATTTTGTTTTATCTGCGTCCAACTTACGTAAAAAGGAAGACTAGGCTCCAAAATTAAGTTTTGTCGTGACTTGAAAATATAAATTTCCAATAAACTTTTTTTTTTCTGCCTTAATTTTTTTCTTAATGGAACGAAACCGCCTAAAAATTGGTGCGGGAATAGTAATACAAATAGGTCACACATAAGCAACCGAACCTGATCGGCTGTTTCTGATCGGACCCTGAAAAAACACATCTTGATAAGGTACACGGTTTCTTTTTCTTTATTTACGGAAAATGGGGATGTATACTTTAAGTAAATCATTCTGAAGTTGAATAAAAGTTGGTAGATCTTTACTTTGACAGAATTGACATAAGGCTTATTCGCTAGCAATGATGCTGGTTTTAGATTTTTACAGTAGTGTGGACAAAATAATGCAACGAGATTCCTTGCTAAATTTGTGGATATAAGCATACCGGTTGACATAAATCAAAGTATGTTTTTATGTCATGTTTACTTTGGATGCGGTTTTCGGTGGCTTAAGTTCGGAGATTTATGGGGGACTAAATATTCCAACATAAACACCAATTAAAGTGTCGTTAAGATAACATCGGAGAATTATTTTGAAACATTCATATGCAAGCAAATTTGCCGATAGCGGCGACTTGAAAAACAGAGGAATAACAAAAATCCTAAAACTGATGCGTAATTCAAAACGATTATGGAATTCGCGCCAAGTATCTATTAAATTGGGAACGAAGCTTCAAAGTTTTAATTTCGAAATATTTGCAATGGAAAATATTGTTGCTGCAAATCGCCGGTTCTAGAAACAATTTATTAAAAATGGGTAAGCTATGCGTAAGAAGTGAACATATGGTAAATACTTGATAATACCTTAAGCAAATTGCACTCTTGCACTAAGTTTTAATTACAGCAAACCACTATTATGTTCAGGCATAATTACATCTCCGTTGTGCAACTATCTCGAACACACAATGGAACTGTACCAAAAACAATGTTATAACAGCAGATTACTGGTGTACGTAGCCCTTTACATATTAAGATTACAAATAAAATATATTCCCCTGTGCCAAAAACTTCGGAATCCAAATTTTGATGTCAAATTGTGAAAAGCATATTGAGCAATAGAGATATAACAATTTTTAGAAGTGGTAATAAAGGCCATTGTTGGTTTTACAATTCAATGAATATTCTGGCAGAAAGGATGTTAAACTATTTCGCTAGTAAAATTTGGAATGGCGGTGTTGTTTTGGTTAGTATGGCTCTTTAAAATATTTAATTAGCCCTTAACTTCATTGGAAGTGTTTTTAATTTGCTATTTTAAAAGTTTTAATCATCACACAGCACAAAAACTGCAAACGGAGGCAGAAATATGCAGGAAGAATGAGCCCAAAGAGTCAATGGTAAAAGGTAAACATTAGGAAATACTTCCGAACGTCCACGTTTTTTTACCGTCAGTAATGCCACCATCGGACAATCAATTCGGAAATAATAGCCGACGTCTTAAGTCAGATATTGCTTTAAACGAGTATAAAGAATTACGAAAGTTTGTGAACTCCTGAGTGAGAGCCGAGAAAAGGGCATATTTGGCAAGTACATTTAAGGCTGATCCTAAAAATGTTTGGCGTACTTTGAGAAGACTGGGAGTGCAAAGTAATCCTACTTTAATTTTTGAAAACAATTTTGGAAAACATAATAGTTTTGATGTTGCTTTTACTTTTTTTGGAGCTATTGGTAGTATTGATCCGGGGTTTGTGTGGGCAAATTATATTAATAAACAATTTGGTTCCAATTCATTCCGTTTGGCAAAAGTTTACCCTGAGGAAGTTAATAAAACTTTGATTAGTATTAAAACTAATGTTCATGGCTCAGACAATATTGATATAAAAATGATTCTTTTGTCTACTCCATATTTAGTGGATTATATCACTTTCCTTGTTAACAAGTGTCTGCTGACCGGGGTTTTTTCGGACTTATGGAAGCAAGCTGAAGTTATACCCGTTCCCAAGAAAGAGTGTCCAAGTGGCATTAACGATTTTAGACCAATCAGTTCGTTGCCAACCATCCCAAAGATTATTGAAAAAAATGCAACTAAACAACTTCGTCACTTCCTATGCGATAACAAAATCCTCCCAAACACTCAATCTGGATTTTCGACCTCTTCACAGCACTACTTGTGCCCTGCTTCATGTTAGTGATGATTTATTGAGAGCAATTAAACTCTTGTCTCATACTCTTGGACTATATCAAAGCGTTCGACACCTTTGATCATTTGCTTCTCCTAGCTAAACTGGAATTCTCTTTCTTTTTTAAAAAAATTTCTTGGTCAGAGATACCAAAGGGTAGCAAAGGGTAGTTATAGGAAATACTCATTCAGATGCCATTAATTTGGAGTATTCTGGGACCTATTCTATTGTCAGTTACTTCTCTACTTTTCTTAAATTTTGTAAATCTCATCAATACGCCAATTTACTCAGTATTTATCTTTTGTTTCTAGTGAAGCTTTAAATGCAGTTACTAAAATAAATTTAGATCCAAAAATAATTGCGGATGTATCTGCGGCTCAGAACCCCTTACTGAATACTAACTAAATAAAAGGGAAGATATTGTAAAAAACGCCTCTTTTAAGATTACACTAAATGATGAGATTGTCTCTCCTTCTTCAGACGGGTGTAAACATTTAGGATTATGGTTTGACGGTGACTTTCTAAGTATGTTGGCTTGGTGTTGCAAAAATCCTTCTATAAGTTGAGGATATTATATATTCATAAACATTTTCTCAGTAAAGAAGTCAAACTTAAAGTATGCGATATGTTAATTTTATCCCATGTCGCTTATTGCAGTATTGTCTATTGGTCAGCTATTTCACAGTCTGATTCGGGTTGCCTCAAATTGGAGGACCGATATAAAGTTCAGTTAGCCCCTTTTGTTTTTTTACTAAACTCCAATAAGACTTCGTCGTACTTGTTTGATAAACTTTGCAGAGGAAATGATATTCAAAATCAAGACATCCGACATTGTTTAAGATATTGCGTTCCTAGACACGCTTCGGTACCTTTCCAGAGATCTTTTAGCTATAACGCAGTTAAGTTATGCTATAACGTCCCTCCCCAGAATAAGAAGCGTTAATATTGTTTATTAGACCCGCCCGTAACGAGTAAAAGTGTGTGAGTTTATGATGTGCGTCTATTTCTTGTGTTTACGATGTATATTTTGTCGACAATTGTGGTGTTGGTGCTGTTGTTCTTGAGGAACAGCGCAAATTGCAAATGTGGCCACTCTCGTTTTGTTAATTGTATTGTAATATTTCGTTTTTGAATAAAGAAATATTATTAATATTATTGTTATTACTATTATTATTATTTTGGATCAACAAATAAATTAATTAATAAATCCAGTATCAGTTTAATCAAGTTTATCAGATACAAAACTAGTGAAAAAATTAACTAAAGCTATTTTATTAGATAGTGATATTTTGACGAATTGTATTTCTATCCAAGTTAACATATTTTGTGTTATATTATATTTTATTTAAAAAAAAATTATAATAACGCTAAAATAAAAGCTATCAATATCAATTCGACAATGCAAACTCAAATGTAATAAAATATCTTTATTATAGTAGGTCGGTGAGAAGTGCTTATTGAAAAACTTATCGTTACTTCGTCCCTACGGAAAAACAGTCGCGCAGAAGTCGCTCAATTTAGTAAAGCGTAAAACAACAAACCTGTAAGCTTTTAATGATGACACATTACTTATTTACACAGCTTTTTAACGACATATCGCCGCCCGCCAGAAATACCGCCCACCGATGTTTGTAAATTGTCACAATTATTAACAAACAGCCAACCAGAGGTGTTTTTCCAAAGAAACCGCCTTAAATTACAGACTTAGAGGCGTCGAATATGATGGTGGGGGTGTTGTGAATCGCCTTAATGCTTGAGTGAAGTTTGAAGTCAGATTTCAGCCGACTGGGAGCTGCTGAAACTGAAAATTTTGACGAGTGACGGATACCAAATACGATCGTGGATGTGTTGCCCGAAAAGGGTGTGGCGGGTGTGCTAGTTGGGTAGTTTTGTAAGGTTTAAAACTTTTTGGAAATCGCAAGAAGGTTAATAGAAATAGGCAAGTACAAAACTATTGCTTGGTTGAAAAAATTGTGTCTGTTTGTGATGGGATATTAATTTACCCGAAATATTACATCCACGTTGGATTTGAGGATTTTCACTAATAAGCGAATTAAAAATTTGATTAATAGATACCACTAGCTAACCTATATCACTATAGGTTCTTAATTCACTATATCACCCTTCACTATGTATAAAATCATACGTTTTTGGTTAGTTTTTGGTATCTTCGTAGTGAAAGAGTTAACGATTCCCTGGCTAAATAGATCTCTCCCTATAATTAATTTGTAAATTGTAGTAAATTGTGAATTTAGCCTGTATCATCAAGAACCATCAGCAGACGGTGTACCCAAACCGATGTTAGTTTTGGTTTTGGTGCAAGTTTTGATGACGATGATGCCGACTTGTTTAGTAAAACCCGTTTCTAGAACGCTTTATTAGTGGTAGTAGACTTAGTATTTTATCCATCTCGAACGCAGGTTCCAGTATTGGGATAGGTATCTGGGTTTATGATAAATGTTGTCGTTTCCGAACCACATTGGTATTGACAATAATATTATACTAATTTCGGCAGGAAGAAATAAAACCTTATCCAAGAAGAACTCATATTAAGTTGTTGTCTTTTTTTTGTTACTGAGCTTTGAATAAACCTTAATTTTTTTGTTTTAGATGCAATCATGTTTCACATTCAACAAGTCGACTCTACAAGTTGCTACTGCGTAGATCACATAGCGGAATGCGTTCAAACCAATCCCTTCCTAGCGCAAAGACTATTTAACCCCTACTATCCCCAGCTGTGGTTTCCTCTACCCTTAAAAATCAGTCAACCGCGGCCCGAGAAACCGCCTTATTCCTACATAGCTCTAATAGCGATGGCTATTTCGTCGTCTCCGAAGCAGCGGCTCACTCTATCCGGAATCTATAGATTTATTATGGACAATTTTCCATACTACCGGGAAAACAAACAGGGATGGCAGAATTCCATCAGACATAACTTGAGCCTGAATGATTGTTTCGTGAAAGTGCCTCGTGATAAAATCGGTGGCACGGGTGAAGCCGGCGGCAAGGGTAGTTATTGGATGTTGGATCCCAAGGCGACCAATATGTTTGAGAAAGGAAACTATCGAAGACGGAAAACGAGGAGGCAGCGCGTGGTAGATTGCGAAAGTCGATTGTATCAGGTGGGAGCTAATTTTTTATTGCATTGGTTTAAACAATACGTTTTCCATTAAAAAATATTATTGACCACGTCTTTACTTACCTATCAAAGACAGAAACTTTATTTGGTGTTTAGCAACATGTGGAACCAGGGTGTTCACAGAAGTAGTGGTCTGCCTCGGGTCTGTCATATCTGATAAATTTGATCAATAAACTATCTATACCTATTAAAATCAGTCATTAAAAATTACTATCTATTACTTGGTTCAAGCAGTGTTATGGAAAATATCTAGTTTATTTTGTCTTCTTTTGTAATTTTTATATACACCTTGCTCTTGGTGCATAAATAGCTAAATACTAACTGCACCACCATTCACAATTGAGTCATGGTTTTATTTTCACTACTGTCAAAGCGGAGGCTGAGACTTTATACTGATTGTATCAATAAAAGTCAACAAATTTTATATCCGAAAAGTGCTGTTTATCTCTCACAGTTTTAGAAAAATAAATTTAGTATATTTAGTATTTAGCTATACTTAGAATAGAAGCAAATGTTAATAACTGATATGTGCGTCGCGACTACTTAATGTGTTTTAGGCATACATCAAAAGAGCATTAAAAGTCTATATAACGTTTGCCTGTATTTCATCCATGACATTCTCTCTAAAGATTAAAATTGTATCATCTGCATTCAATATATTATCCCACTAGTTTTATTATAGTATTCGCTGGTGTGCATAATTACATAATTGGACTAACCCTATAATATCTATTCCTGCCATAAGAATCTGTCTTTACTATCTCTTGATTACGATTCTCAAGATAGGATTCAATCAAATTTAACGAGTTATTTATCTGGAAAAATATGTCGTATCATCCGCTATACCTTTATACTGCGTAACTCATAAAAACGAAGAATTGTGGCGATTTGCTTTTAGTTTATTTCCCTATACCCAATTTCAACAATTTTGAAAGATTTTATTTTCAACAATTTTTCAACAATTGTTAACAATTTCAGACTGTTGGTAAACGCTTTTGTAGAAATACAAGACCAATACTTTCTAAATCGATATTTACAATTGCACCGTCAAAGCTCAATGTCATTTAAGTGTCAAAGTTATATGAAACAAAATTTAATACATTGTCTTGGTACTAGAAGTTTTGGGATTCTGGAGTTGGCGATCCAGATCACCCGATTTGACGCTATTGGAATTTCAGCTTGCTCAAACTAACGAACCTAAAACACTAACTTAACATTAATTAGTTTTAATTGATATGGTCCATATAATCTTGGTTTAAGCAAACTTTATATCTCTTTTCACTGTCAGCGTTCTGAAAAACGCACAGTTTTCAACTATATATATATATATATATATATATATATATATATATATATATATATATATATATATATATATATATATATATATATATATATATATATATATATATATATATATATATATATATATATATATATATATATATATACAGGGTTTTTCACTTAAAACTCCGCATGCCAATAAGTCCAAAACTAAAAGAAATATTAAATTTATGTAAAAAGTAGTCAAAGTGTGGGGTCAAGTAGATATTTCCTAAAGTTTAAAAAATTCGACGATTGCAAAGAGCGGGGCGTCGCGACGCGTCGAAAAATTATTCGATTGCAGAAACTTTGGAAATACGCGCATACAAAAGTACATATTATTTAAAAACTTTTTTGTTATTTACTAAAACTTATTTACTTTACCCGTTTCTAAGTTATACCGATTCAAAGTAAACATTTCTTGATTAATAAAAAATGTGATTAACGCTTATTTTTACAAGTATGCCATGAATGTTAGTTACTATGGCAACCATTGTTAACGCAGTTGTTTTAAGTGCAATTACAAACAATAGATTTCAACTATTTTAGTATGATTTTATTTATTATTTTTTATCGATTTAGTTCTGATAACATGATAAATAACTGAAAAAACAGTAAAATACCTACAAGTTAATAACCAAAATTATTATTGCAATTAACTACATAATAAGACATTTCAAAAATTTTGTTCAAAATTATGTCCATCTGCTCGAACACAACTATCAAAAACTTTTAACAGATGAGCTTGGGTCACTTGTAGGAGAGTCCTTCTTGTGATAGCGGCACACGCTGCACTAATTTTGTTAATGAGATCGGCCATATCTTCGATAGGTTCTTCAAAGAAAATAATCTGGTGGTGTAATGTCCGGGGACCTCGCCGGCCACTTTACCGGTCCAAACCATCTATTGGGATATTCTCGGTTCAAATACCTCGTTACTATTTGGGCATTATGTGCGGGCGCTCCATCCTGCTGTAGCCACATATTCATTCTAGTGTCAAGAGGCACTTCTTCTAATAGTTCCGGAAGTGTAGTTTGAAGAAATCTTAAATAGCGATCTGCATTTAAAGTTCCTTCGTAAAAGTAAGGTCCAATAAGGAATCCATTTAATATGCCGCACCAAACATTGATACTAAAAATTCGTTGGTTACCTCTTTCTGTAATCCAACGAGGACGGTTTTCGGACCAAAAACGACAGTTGTGTCTATTAATTTTGAACAAAATTTTTGAAATGTCTTATTATGTAGTTAATTGCAATAATAATTTTGGTTATTAACTTGTAGGTATTTTACTGTTTTTTCATTTATTTATCATGTTATCAGAACTAAATCGATAAAAAATAATAAATAAAATCATACTAAAATCGTTGAAATCTATTGTTTGTAATTGCACTTAAAACAACTGCGTAAACAATGGTTGCCATAGTAACTAACATTCATGGCATACTTGTAAAAATAAGCGTTAATCACATTTTTTATTAATCAAGAAATGTTTACTTTAAATCGGTATAACTTAGAAACGGGTAAAGTAAATAAGTTTGAGTAAATAACAAAAAAGTTTTTAAATAATATGTACTTTTGTATGCGCGTATTTCCAAAGTTTCTGCAATCGAATAATTTTTCGACGCGTCACGACGCCCAGCTCTTTGCAGGCGTCGAATTTTTTAAACTTTAGGAAATATCTACTTGACCCCACACTTTGACTACTTTTTACATAAATTAAATATTTCTTTTCGTTTTGGACTTATTGGCGTGCGGAGTTTTAAGTGAAAAACCCTGTATATATATATATATATATATATATATATATATATATATATATATATATATATATATATATATATATATATATAATATAACATAGTTTTTCTTCCGGTTTTTCTCTTGTTTTTTTCCTGAATTGCCGATTTAAATTGGACACAGCCAATGGCCGAAGCATTTTTTAAGTCTAAAGTACATTTCCTACGCTAATAAAATCTCGAGGACGTAAATAGTTTTATTGGCTCAGTGATGTCAAAACATCCTGAATTCGTGAATAGTCGCGGGGTGTTAAATCCAAATAAGGTGTTTGTGCATAAACACGATTGCGATAAACAAAAAATAAACACCACATGCCCAAGTAGATTTGTTAGATCTACTTTAAAATTGCCGTAAAATTAATTGCTGTTGACAATTTCGGCGTTTACTACTTGCAGATGTAGGAGATCGTGCCATTTTGAGAAAATTAAAGTATCGTTAACTCATTGGACGTTTAGACGACTTAAACGGAAAATCACAAATACAAATACTGTAGAAATTACGAAATGTTTTTGTAGTAAACGATAAATAATTGTATTAAATTTTTGTAAGAGACCACACCTTAATGTGTCTATTCTATATATCACCCTTTCTGCTAGACAACACCTTAAATATATTTAACAATTTTAGAGTGACGCACAGTGAAAGTTTATTGAATAAATAAAAAATCTTAGATAATTATAGACATACTAAATTAAAAGAACAAAAGATAATAAATTGCTGGACAATCGAAGCGGGTAAACAGAAATTGTGTTTTTTTTGAATAAATTTCAAGAAAAATATGACCAGATTTTTTGGATATCTCTGATTTAGACCGAATTATGTATTTTTGAATACAAATTTAAATAGATTTTGGTGGTTGGAAGATTATTATATAACGACGGAAAAAACGTAAAAGCTGAATATAAATGTATTCAGCTTTTACGTAAAAAGCCAGAGTTTTAATGACCTCTCCTCATTATCGCTCAGAAGTTTTTAAATTTCGTAGTACTCATTATACAATCGGGTAACGAGTAAGAAATATGATAGAAAAGTGCCATCTAAACTGAAGTGTCAAGGGCGTGGTAAAAAATTGCAGCATGTATTTTTTAGCAGTATTATTTCAAAATAATTTAAAAATACATTTTTCTACTCCCGTCTGTAAAATATCAAGTTACACACCGATCTAGCGTGCGGGAAGCGTCACTTTACCACGTCAGTTTCGTTTCCCACGAATCTGAGCCATGTCGGACATTTCCGGGATTTTACAGCACGGATTTGTGTTGTTTTGCGAAAACGTACCCAAAAACTAACGGTCGTAGAAAAAGTATAGTATGCAACACGTTCGGTAAACTTTTTAACTCACTCGTTTATTAAAAACTCGCTCCGCTCGTGTCAAATAAACTCATGAGTCCAATGCCGTTTACCGCACTTGTTGCATAATATACTAATAATCAATTTTTCTTATTTATTAAATAAAATTAAATCTTTATTTTAAATTTTGTGGACCAAAAACAACGTTCCTTTTCCGGTACATTATTGCAAACATATTAGCACAACAACAATTAAAGAAAAGTCGAAGTACATTACAATCAATTAGTACATAGAAGAACAAACGATAGAAAGAATTTTTCAAAGTACCCGTTAACACACGATTTACACCCGAAAATCACAAATATTCAGAAAAATTGAGAAACTGATCGAAATTAGAGGGCAACAGTATTTTTAAAATATTTTTATTATGTTACTTTTACTATGTAGTCTGTCATAAAAATCAATCACAGTAAGATTTATTTCACAATATCTCTTCATATAAATGTCATCATTTTTATTTGTATATTTAAGTATTATTTCGGATTTAAATATGAAAGCAGATGCAAAATTTTGCATCTGCTTTCATATTTAAAAGAAGGAATTTTGAGTGTCATTGATTGTATGCTTGCCATTATATCATTTTGTTTAATCCAAAACACATTTTTGTTACCTAAAACTGAAATAACATTTTTCTATTCCCGTCTGTAAAATACCTAATTAAGTAAACACCGATCTAGTGTGCGAGAAGTGTTACCATGTCAATCTCGTTTCCCACGGATCAAGCCACTTCGGACATTTTCGGAATTTGAGTCACTCGTTTATTAAACAGTCGCTCCGCTCGTGTCCAATAAACTCGTGAGTCAAATTACGTTTACCGCACTTGTTGCATAATATACTATAACGGATGATTTAATGAAAATAAACAATTTCTTTGTATTTCTCATTTAATCATAGAGTGTTTTATTGTGATTTTAATTATATTGGTACTAAGCTTTTGTTAGGAAAATTAAATTATCATGTGGCTAGTATTTTTACTGAAAATTTTAAATATCATCATTCTTACTAATTTTAAGTTGGAATTTAACATAGTTGTCGTTGAAACTAAAATGAGAACTATGGTGTATGAGAGCAAGCTGAATTTATTTTTGTATTTGTGGTAAAGTTGGTATGTGCATTTTACTTAAATCCTTAGTTTAAATTTATCTCAAAAATATTATATATTAAAAGTTGTTTAAAAAATAAGCCTGGGTGATGTAGTCTTCAACGCCAATAAAAAAATCAAAAAATCATATAAAAATACTACAAAATTAAAACATATAAGCAAAAAGATTATCGAATAAATTAAAAAATGAAACAACAAACAAGTCCAAAAATATATTTCAAAAAAAAATATATCAAACATATCTTAAATTCATATAAACCCCAAATTCCTTAATTTATTTTATGTGCACGTGATTTTAGGAATTGAATCGAATTGAATTGAAAAGTGTAATTTTCACAGGATCATATGCAGTTTCTATTAGAAATATATTAATTAGACGTAGCTTGGTTATATTTTTTGTGCTTTTGTCTTTGGTCAGTTTTAAAAATATCTAATTTAAAAAAAAATGACCCCATCTGCATTGTACATTTGGCCTAACTTCCATTTGTGATTTTTGTCCATAATATGAAAAACAAAATCCGGAGAATGGGTGGCATTTCCTTTTAAATTGAGTCTCTTTATCTAGCTCATTTAGCGTTATGGAATTCAACCTCGCTTTAATGTTTTAAGAGCTAACTAGGGTCCTAGTAAAAAACTTAGTTCAAGTATCCGTTTAATTATAAAAATGCGGAATCACGTTTAATGATATGACTGTGTAGTATACAGTCTACCACAAAACCAAATTTAATTTTTAAAATGTCGGTTGTTTCCTATTTTGCGTTGCTCATGTTGTAATCTCCGTCGCAACGAGCAAAACCTAACAGAATCGCAATCCGGAAACCGGACTAATTAAAAAGATTCGAAGTCGAATAAAACTCTTATACGGCTGACTATAACAAAAATGAACTTTGGACAATCGTGCGCGCAAGGTATTCCGCCAAAGTTGTTAAAACACTTTTAACAAGCAGTAAAGCCAACTTTTTTTTTCTCGATTGTGTTCGTAGTAGAAGATTTGCTTTTGTTTGAGATTTAAGGAAAACAGAGAAGTACCCGGGGGGGCCCGGCCGGCCGCCAATTACGCGGTTTAAGGGACCGTGAAATCGTCTTATAAAGTAGCGACGTCAGAACAAAATGACTAATTGGCATTTTTCTTTCAAATTCGCCAGCAATTAACATACAATTTTCGCACTTTGTACAGAAGTTTTTCTTTTTCTTATAGGAGGAAGCTTTGTCTTTAGTCACGAGGGCCGTTACTCCAGAAGTAACTGACTCAACGGAGCACCAACTCACGTTAGCGGATCAAAGCAAAAGGCGCAAAAATTCTACACTGTTCACCATCGAAAATTTAATAAAGAGTGATGATACATTAGACAACAGTTGCTCCACTAGTGCTTAGATCTCGTCTCCTGATTGCAAAAAAGAACATTTTTCGTTTTCAAGCAGGGTTTTATTTAAACGCTTTTCGCGACTGGAACGCACGACATAATAATACATACAATGTGGTGAATTCAAATGTCTTTTATATGCCTAGATACTTGGCGTATCTATATTCATTTCATTTTTGGACTTCAAAGGGACGCCTTAATTTTACCTAGCTAGAAATACTTTTATGTGCAATTTCTTGACAGGAATTTTATCTATTTATTTGGATACATGATGAACCTTTCAAAAACGGGTTCTCTTTTTACGATCTGTGTATTCGGTGGGGTTGACACAAACATCAAAAACTACGAATTTTGATGAAATTCGACACCTATTCACGAAATATTTATATTATATCTCTAAGAACATACGAAATGTTTGTTACAATTTGCTAAATGTGTTAAGTAACACACGACAAAAAATCCGTTCCACTCATTGATGTGTTAAATGAATAGAATTAATATTATTCCAATATTCTTGGATACATGCTGCTATCATTTTGCAAAAGTTACCATTTGAGAATGAAAGGTTGGTAAAAATAGTACTGTTAATGTTGTTAATTTTATCATATCTATCTAAAGTTGGTTTTACCGTGAAATGAATTCACAAATTTGATACGTATGGATTTTGCGTGGGTGAGTAAACTCCAATATTTTTAATTTCTTTAATTTTATTTATTCTGTGATTGAAAACATAACTAACATCTCTATTTTAGTCAGTAATTGGTGTCCCTGAGACGACTACATGACTAACAATCATGTACGGGGTGTTTCAAAAATGCATGAGACAAAAAAGGTTACATAAATGTTTTTTATGAAAATGGATAAATTTTTTAACGCATCTTTGTTATTTATATATATATATATATATATATATATATATATATATATATATATATATATATATATATATATATATATATATATATATATATATATATATATATATATATATATATATATATATATATATATATATATATATATATATATATATATATATATATATATATATATATATATATATATATATATATGACAAGGACCTACGTACCGTATTACGTTATTGTGATTGTGTTTACAAATTTATTTGGCCGATGACCATGTACAATACTTTGCGCTATATCCAATTCTGAAGATATATCTCTATCTAATTGATTTGTATACTGACATGTTTTTAGAGAAAAATGTTTGTAATAAAATAAAATGAAAAAAAAAGTAAATTGTCTTAATCTGCTCCTAAATTTGAAAACTTATAAATGTCACAAAACAATGTGCCAATTGCCCGAAATTTTTATTCTTTTAAGTGTTGTAGAGATATTTTCATGAACGTCTTTCCTTGCCCACACGAATAGAGACTCCTTTCAGTCTTGTTCGGCACTTCGTTGCTAGATGGCACATGCTACTTTGTATTTAAATTATGTAATTTTACTACGCCGAAAATATAAAATATAAATATATAAATAACAATTATGCACTAAAACACATTAAATTCAATTACTTTCTGTTCTAAAATAACCAATTTTGCAGCGATCAAGCGTGCGCAGAGTGTTTACGACGTCAGTACTTTAAACCAGTGCTACTGACGTTTCCAGTATTTTAGTCTCCGGTTTATATATTATTATAATTATTATCTTTGAAAGAAACTTCAAATTGTTTGTTAGTTTTGTCTATCGAGCTTAAAGTGGTTTTCATTTTAAGCTTTAATTTTTGTCCTCAGTTCCTCAGCAAATTATTAAATCGGTCAGTTTAAACTAAAATTAAAAACTGTAAAAATAATTTCGAAAGATAAATACAAATTTTCCAAGTTAATAATAAACGCCACTGCTGTTATAATTCGTGACACGCATACGATGATTCGTATTTATCTACGTCATTATGATGCACGTCTGCATCAATCGCTGACGCAGAGATAACATTTATTTTGTAATTGAATAATTTAGGCAATTATTTTTTTTTAATTAATTTGTATTGTTGATCTAATAATACCCGATGCAGTCGGAAATGGCTTCCGATAATCGGATCAATAATTTTATTTTTGACTCGTCAATTTTCAAAATAAACAGAGAAATTCAATACAAAAAAGAATGTCGCATTTCTCGTCAGGCCGATGTTGGGTTAGTTTCGCCTTAGTAAGAAAACTTATTTTTTTCATGTTTTTTTTTTTAAGAAAAATCGTAACTACTATTACAATAAATTACTTTTTCCATTCCCTATTCTAAGACAATCTATTATACACTGATCAGTGCTCCCCAAAGTGTCACTTTAACATGCCAAGTGACTTATTGTACGACCAAAAATATTGTGCATATATTGCTTTGGCGTTTTAAGTATTTTACCGTACCTTAACTGCAGACCTTCGCAGGACCATGGTAAAACCCATCACAACAGATGTTTATTCCGCATTAGTAGCACCGAACGAATATTTGTAGACACTTGACATTTTTATTTGAAACGTAAATGAATCGTTTTAAATTTGATTAAGCATTTTTGCGGCGGAATATTTTCGAATAAGTAAAAGCGTTTTTAAGAGTTTAATCTGAATTGAAATATGTTCGTATATATAATGGATGTATTTTAATGTGATCCTTCCAATAAGTACGTATTTAAGTACCTGTACTCTATTTATCTTACAGTTAATTTTGAAAATAATAATTTTTGTCTTGTGTGTCTGTCGATTAACAACATTTTTCTTCTTGTATTTTTGTGTCTTCGATTTTTAAACAACAGTCTTTTTTAAGATAGTCGATTATTCGATAGCACAACAAAACGGATATGAAATCTTGAGATTACTCCCGTATCATTGTATATTTAATCCGATTGAGATGATTTGGTCTGAGTTGAAAGCGCATATAAGAAGAAATAACACTGCACCAAAATTTTGTGATAGTGCCATAAGCGTAATTCGGCAAGAGGTTGCTAAAATATTAGCACAAAGCTGGTCTAACTGTAAAAAACAAATCATAAAAGAAGAAAATATTTATCGAGAACGATTAGTGGCCGAGTTGTTCATTAAACTAGGTGACAGTAGCGATAGTGACGATTTTTTAAGTGACTGATACTTTATTATTGTAATATTTAATATTTTCTATATTAATAATTATACTATGTAGAAATGTAATGAAATGTAACGTAATAAATTGTTACTTTGTACTATTTTTTTTTATGTACATGTTTCAAGAATTGCTCGGTGAAGAAGATTGAAAACATATCCCGCTTGTTTGTGTAGGTAGATACATTCCTAGGACTGCCCTGGAATGGTTACGGGTAAGGGTCTGCTCGGCAGGGTGTTCTATAAGGAGCTGCCGTTTTGGGGTAATGAACAGTAGGCAAAGTTAATCACGGGGTCAGCTGTCAGTTTCTGGTGATCGTATAGCCACGATCGCGAGTCACTTCGGTCGTTTCGCGTGTTTGGGAGCAAACGGATATATTACTTTGACGTTTGTCAGTTTTGACAGTCACGTCATATGACATAGTGTAGTCGTCCTGTTTTGCAAAAGTGAGTATGAAGGGCATGGCTTATAACAATACATTTTGCGATGATTTTCTCTAGTTCAGAGAGCAGAAATAAATAAATTTTCCTCCTCGGCCTTTAGCTAACTTCATCGACCTCGGTCTGTAGATAGATAGTTTTATTCACAAAGCCCAGTATGTATACGTGGATGTTTCGTCAGGAAACGAGTACATTATTGAGTAGTATAAAGATACATGGAAATATGTATATAAACAATATGATAACACACATTTAACAGTACAGTATAGAATAGTTACAAACGGATATACAAACAGTACAAACATATTGACAAAATGTAGAGAAAATATCACTAAACTCATCAGGGCACTCCTGTAATATATGTTTCAAATTCTTTCAGGTTGTAGAAAGCATTGGTTGACAGAAGCTTTTTGATGCACTTTTTAAATTGTCTTGTAGATTATGCTTTTATGCTTGTAGGAAGCAAATTATAGTAATAAGGTCCTGAGTAATTTAGCGACTTTTTGTAGAACATGTGGTTCAGTCTTGGCTTTAGAATGTGTTCTCTGTTTCGGGTGATATAACCGTGGACATCCTTGTGTTTCTTGTGAGAGCCTTAATTTTTATGAACGATGATGAATAATTTAAATAAATATATGCAAGGCACTGTTAGTATTTTATACCTTATAAATATATCTTTGCAGGATAGCCTCGAGGGCAGTCTGAAAATTAACCTAAGTATTCTTTTTTGCTGAATGAACACCCTCTCCGCATCACTCGCTTGTCCCCAGTTTACGATATTATATGAAATAGACGAGTATGCTGAGGTGTAATAGAAAGTAAACAAGGATCCTTCAAAGAAAGAATCCTTGATTGTTAACATTGCGAAAAACGTTTTGTTCAGTTTATTACAAACACTATCTATGTCGTAGTCCCACTTTGTGGTTTAATTCCACGCGTGAACCCACAAAGCTGAACGCTAGGTTAGTCAGAGGTTTAACATACTGACCAGTGAATTCGATCGCAACTGTTTTTTCCAAATTTATGATCAAATGGTTCTATTTGCAAAAATCAACAAACTGTGCCACAACACAAGAAAACCTATTGATCAGCTCCCGAGCTTCTCTTCCGGAGACGAAGAGGTATAAAGCGGCACCACTGGATAACACCCGAATTCTTGATTTGAAATCAACTTAACTATACAGTGGATCTGTATATACGTCATCAAGCACTACGGGGACCAGTGATGTCTGCGAGGTCAACAAAACATATGTCATTTCATTTCGTATGGAAGCTTCGGCAATTTCCACATCTGCCCCACCTTAGGAATGAGGTAGAGCATATATTTCATACTTTTAAAAATAGACCGATATGACTTATTAAATAACTTTTATATCGAATGTTGACCAAATTTTCGAAAATAATTTTTAATAAAAAATTAATGAAAGGTTTTACAACTTGCTGATACAAATGTGTCAGCACCCTTGTAGCGAATTTCCGTTAAAGATTATATTATTCGCTAACAGTGTATTATGTAACAAGTTTAATAAATGCCACTACAGTCACGAGTTTGATTTGGCACAAGCGGAGTGAGTGCTTAATATATGAGTGATTTAGGAATTTTCTCAGCTTATTGATCATTAGTTTGCGGGTATATTCACTGAGTGACGTGTGACGCGACCGTCAGAATTATCAAGCGGTCAAATACCATCACTACAACCTACCGAAAACATCCGATCGTTCCCAAACACGTGATTAAAATATAAAAAATATCCGAAGTGGCTAGCGACTGCATATTTTCCGTATATAATAGTATAAGTATCATGTAATAAGTTTAATAAAAGTCACTTTATTTACGATTTCGATTTGGAAAGAGGGGAACTAGTGTTTAGCAACGTGTTGAATACAAAACTTTTCTACCGACAATTAGTTTTTGGATACATTTTTGCAAAACGTCAAAATACCATCAATAGCAGAAAGACGTTCTGGAACCCGTAGTTGATGCTAACGTCTCAAAGCGATACTTTGCATAAGCTTTGTCAGTGCAGAATTAGGTATTTGAGAATATGGAGTAGAAACGAATATTCAATTGTTTTCTGTTTCTTTTTATAATTCTGTTTCCGGTTTCTCGTTTTTCAATTTGCTTGGATACTTAGACAAGTAAATTTCAAGCAAATTTGAATTTTTTTGAACAGTTAGCTCCACATGAAGAACGATTCATTATTTTGAAAATGCTTAGTTTGATAGGATTTTCGATATGAAAAACGCAGGTATATGTATGTATACGAAGCGGTGGTAGTTTTC